GACACCAGGTACCCACCAAAACCACACCATAATGCTCCTCCTCAGCTGGGCAGGATAGAGGAAATTTAATGAAAGGGTCATGAGTAAAGGACAGAGAGAGATCAGTCACCACTTATTGTCATGAGCAAAACAGACTTGATTTTGGCAAATTAGTTGCATTTATTAGCAATCAGAATCAAAGTAGGATAATAAGAAGTAAAACAAATCTTAAAAACACCTTCCTCCACCCCTCCCTCCTTCCTGGGATTAAGTTTATTCCCAATTCTCCACCTCCTTCCCTGCAGTGGCACATAGGGATGGGAAATGGGGGTTACAGTCAGGTCATCACATTGTTTCTACTGCTGCTTCCTTCTCAGGGACAGGAGTCCTTCCCCTGCTCCAGGGTTTATCACACTGAGATGTCCCTCCCATGGGAGAGAGTCCTCTATGAACTTCAACATGAGTCCTTCCCACGGGCTGCAGTTCTTGCCAAACTGCTTCAGTGTGGGTTCTTTCTGTGGAGTGCAGGCTTTCAGGGATGGGCTCCAGCATGGGCCCCCCGTGGGGTCACAAGCCCTGCCAGCAAACCTGCTCCAGTGTGGGCTCCTCTCTTCAAGGCTCTGCAGGTTCTGGCAGGAGCCTGCTCTAGTGTGGGCTTCCCACAGGGTCACCTGGGGAGCTGATGCAGATGACACTGACAAAATGTTGACCAAACCTTGACCAAATCCCCCATACAAACTGAATTTCCACCAGTGTAGGAACAGAATATCAAACAGAGCATTTATTAAAAAGAAACATGTGCAGTAACCCATATTTTTTATATCTGCCAAAACAAACTTTCTTGTGTTCAATTTCTAGAACCAGAAAGTGGGTGAAATTCCATGGGCTAGGAATATGGGTATGTGCAACATGGAAATAAAAATTTTAATATCCCAGATCTCAGGTTTACCACAAAAGAATATGAACACCCTACAAGGACTCGATTGTTTTCTAGCTGCTAAAGGAAAGGCAGGGGAGCAGAGGAAGGTGAATTACCAGCTTTCCAACTGCAAAGCAGGTGAGTGACAAGCCCTTTACCTCACTGAGATACTGGGTTCTACAATTTCAAATGCTCTAAACTCTTCTAGAAACTTACATCTTACTCTATAGGGCAATTTCTATATTTCATTTACCAGCTTAGCTGGACCAGTACAAATGTGTACCCAGGCAGTTACCTTACTGCCAGGGTAAAAATGGTTAAGGAAAAAAAAAAAAAAAATTCACTTCCATAATTATTTCTAAGACAATCTATTTATATTGGCTCCAGGTCTGACTAGGTGTGAAATACTTCATATATAGAATCCCTAATTTTGGAAAATACCTCTAAGATCATTGAATCCAATCATTAACCCAGCATTGCCCTGTTCACCACTAAACCACATCCTCAAGTTCCAGGGATGGTGATCCCACCACTTCCCTGGGCAGCCTGTTCCAATGCCTGACCATACTTGCAGTGAAGAAATTTTTTCCCAACATCTAATATAGACTGCCCCTGGTGCAATTTGAGGCCATTTTCTCTTATCCTTTGTGAATATTACAAATGACAAAAGTCATGTTTCAAAACATCCATTTCTGGTTTGGGTCTTTCTGAAGAGTCATTTTCATCAATGTAAAAATTAAGCAGAAAAGGCAATAAGCATCCCCCATCAAAACTCCTCCTCCCTAGTTGAAAATCATCTCTGAAACACATAGCTCAAAGCAATCTGAAGATAATTAAAATTATGATGTATGGAGACTGTTGTTTACTGTGCCAATCAACACTAATTAATTATTTCTTTGTGATTCTGACTGTCTGTATCCATATGCCACTTATAGTCTTCATATTTTGGCATTATGTACTTCAGGTAAAGGTCCCTTCTGTGGGTGTAAAGTGCTTAGCACAATTCTCTCTCGTATAGTAGTAGGGATTCCTAATGATAATTGAACACTATAATTGAAAAGGTAATTGAAAATATGAAGAAAATGAAGGTTAATACATTTCCTAGATTAATGAAGAGTGCACCAGTAGGCAAAATATCTCAACAAGACAAAGCACTCTTCTTCTTAAAGAACAAAGGAAAAAGTAACTACATACATCAGCATTCAGGTAAAAAAAAAAAAAAAGAAAAGGCATTCCTCTTCACTGAAATCATACTGCTGAACCTTTGAAAGCTGTAATACCTCCAGATGCATCATTCTTCAGACAGGTTTGTGTGACCTTTCATTCAACTCAATAGGACAAGGCAAAGTGGCACACAGTCACCCTGACAACAGCCAGAGCCCACGCAGCAGGCACGAGCTGCCTTTTCTTGCCAAAATACACATACTCTGCAAACTTTGTTACTCTTCCCCAAATTACCTGCTGTACAAAACCACAAACATTAGATGAATGCTGCCAGTAAAAGGCATTTTTAGTTGTCTGAAGCTGGGACACAAGGGCAAAGAAGACAAGAAGTGAGAGGCTGCCTAAAACCCAAGGTCCAACCAATCCACCGGGCAGGGCTTTGAACTGCTGAAGCAGTACACTGACCACAATAGCTGCTGCCTTGTGCTCAGAGAAAAAAGTACTAGAAATAAACACAAAATTATCCTGCCACTGCCATTTATCAGCCAATGAGGTTTTCCAACTTGGGGGGGTTTGGAATTCCTGTACAATTTTGCATTGGTGCAAAGTCCTGCAGTGTGCTCAGCTCCTGTGGTAGAAACTGTAGTTGATCCACCTGCTAAGTCTTTCTTAACTCATTCTTGGCATGTCTGTGGAAAACCATTGTCCAGTGGCCTAAATCCAGAAAGTGAAAAGATTATTCATTTGTTAAACACTGGAATTGGAGCCTCATTGGTACTACCAAATAGGACCTCTGTAAAACCAAATTAGCCTGTAATCCTTCTGGTTTAGATAAACTCCATTGGAACAGGGGCTTCAGGTGAAGCAGCTGCAGGTAATGGAGATTCCTTCTTAATTTACAACAGCTTACTTTGTGCTACGCTACGGCCTAACACCATAATTGACTACACTGCTTTCTAGACTAGACTGTGAATGATTGAATCTTTTCCCCAAAGAAATTAAAAGGTCCAAATCACCTTTTTTTCCCCAATCTCTCTTCTCCACAATCTTTCTTTAAAATGCATTACATACCCACTACCAGCCACTGACATGAAAGTATTTCTATTTTACTAAAATTCTTTTATGTAACTGATTCTGTTACTGTTGCAGTGTCTGACTGAACCAACCACACAAACCCCTCAAAAGGCAAAGCTAAATACTGCTACTTGTGAAGCTGTATCACTGTAATTTGCCTTGGAAGCAGAAAAGAGAAAGAAGGAGACTTTTCTGTCTCCTGAACTTGTGTGTCTGCTGGAATGATAATACCTCCTTGTACTGACAAATTACTGGTGTTGAAACACAGCTGCAATGGCCACATACACAGCTCAGCAGTGGCCAGCAAGACACCGAGCAGACCATGGATAACATGATACACTGTAGTGCCACGTAACAAAAGATTCAGTCCCCTCGGAAATACTTCATTTAATAAAAACCAAGGCTTACACACATAATTTGCTACCTTTATTCGTAAAATGTGCAGTAGCCACGCAAAGTTTTTAACGGATTCAAACCAAATTTTAAAATGAGAAATACTCTACTTGTACCTTCTTCTTTGAACTAATCTGCCTTCATTAAGCAAGTAAGTTTGAGTCAACACCCAAAAAGTGGAGGAAGTTGGCAGCATATTCCCCAAGCCATCATCTGAAATTGTGAGCTGAGAGGATGGCATGACACACATCTGGTGTAATCAGGCAAATCCAATATGCTTTCACTATCACAGAGAAACTGATTGCCTGGATTTTGCCTCCCAATCATTTCAAAAATTATGCCTGACAGTGAGAATCCAAAAATCTATTTAAACAACTGAATTTAAGAAAAAGCTGCACTAAATTCTCTCTTTCTCAGACACACACACTGAGCAGATGGAGGAAACACAGCGAGTTCCTTGCTAGTCACATCAGCTCAGGAGTCAGACATTACGAATGCTGTCTCATCCAGCTCTTGCTGAAATCAATTAAAACCCTTCAGTGAAGACCACGGGAGATGGAAAATAACCCTCTCCACACTTCAGCCAGAATGTGTGAATGAGAAAAAAACTAACAGCTTTCTTCCCCTCTGATTTTCATGGTGCTTAAAGATCCAGATTATAAAACACAACTTGTCATCTTGGAATTTTTGATGTGCTCACTTGGCATAAATAAAACTCATGTCTGTGTTTGAATCAGGAAGACAGATATCACTTTGCACTTGGACAAAGAGAGATACCAGCAATCATGCATGAATAAGCATTATTGCATTTCAAAGTGCTGCGAATGCAGTGTGTTCTACAACTAAGGAAGTAGATGGAGTGAGAAAGTGTTCCTTGTTGCTTAAAAAAAAAAAAAAATCATAATTTTTCATTGGTGAAAAATAAAGAAAAAATAACCCAGACACAGGAATTTGTCTTTTATCAGTTGGATAACCTGAAAATCAACTGGCATTGTAAATATCTAGCAAGACTGTGGCACTTACTAGAGCATCTACCATCTCTGATATAAAAAAATTACTTCACTAGAGTTGCTCTGAAGTGCTTTGTTGGCATCAGCTTACAATAAACATTCAATTATTCCTGCATTCCCAGCTCCAACGACATTCATCACTGCAAACTCCTTTGGCCTGAGGGCCCATTCACACTGGCCCACACTGTGTCTATAGATTTTGTTCTCATTTTGCCTTGCATCCTTGTGAATGACAATATTTAGGACTTTATGCATGGTTTGTATTTGGTCATAAATATTCAAACAGTTTAATTTTCTATACTGTTTCTAGACATAGATCCAAGAAGAGAAGGTATGGAGGCTTTACTGTGTCAAAGTGAACTCTGTCAATAACACCAGGTTGATGTTAATAAATATTAGCAAGGAGAATAAAAGAAAATATAATAATCCACTTAAAAAAATAATCTCAAAGTTATACTCACTGCTGGTAGAGGACATTCGGCTATACTCAGACCTGCAAGACAAAGATTTTAATTAGAATGTATTAAATCTAGAAGATATAATGAAAAAATTACCAAAACTAAATCACAGTGCTTATTGATATAGTTTAATGCCCATTTAGCATTATTTTTGTGCTAAGAGAATAACTAGAACAGGTTTTGAACACTGCTTCAGAAAAACTGGCTCATGTGAATTTTGAAAATATGTAAGTATAATGAGTAACTATGCTTTTATCTAGGGGTTATTCATGCTACCTAATTCTAGGTGTGAAAATAAAAGCTCAGAAGGATCTCCATAAGGAAGAAATAGTCTGCTTCAGACACAGGTGAGGAGTAGAAGTCTACTAGACTTTGACTCAGATCCTCTCCTTCCTCACTTTATGTCCTCTAAATGCTGCTGTGCAGAATATGTTTTTAGAGTTCTTTTTAAGAGAAATCTATTTGATGAGCAGAATTTTAATAGTTCTACAACCACAACTGTCAGAGAAGGGGGAAAAAAAAGAATGCCAAAATATAAACATTTAGATGGTAAAACTTTTGCTTTAGTAGACCATTTTTCTCTTGAAGACATGTCAATAAAATTACACAGCCATTGGTTCTAGTTCAGGGCATACTGGATTATCTATGAGAAAGCCAGAGAAGCTGAATGTTTTGAGCAGCAGTGCAATTAAATTTTTTGGCTGCATATAACCCCAAACTCATGAAAACTCCATTCTGAACTGATTAAAACATAACCCCTCTATGTCCTGAAGATTCAGAAATAATAAGGTAAAACAAACATGCCACCACATAATATTTAAGGAAAAAAAAAAAAATCATTTCAAGTGCTGAGACCCAACCTTTGAGTGTCTGGGTTTGGAGTTCACAGCTACACAGCCTCTACCCTCACACTTGCTGGGTCCCCGAACAGACCCCATGCACCAGAGCACCCTGCCACCATAAACATATGGCACATGTGCCCTGCAGTGCCCTGAACAGGCAAAGTGCTCGGGAGTCCTGACACAGCTCTTGGATTCAAGCCTAAATACTTGTTTTATATAATAGTTGCAGCACGTTTGTAACATTGTGTTAAATTAAAGAAACCACATGAGCCTTGACTCCCAAGAGATGTGTGTGGAAGTAAATACCATCTAAGCCTATTCTGAGGATATGCTCATACTCTAGGCTCTCAGGCAACCAAGGGAATAAAGGACATCAATTCCATATATCTATTGTGGGAATCCAGGGCTTTCCTTTAGCTGCCCTGGCAGGTCTGGGACCCTGGCAGGGGGCCAGGAACCCCCCTGGACAGAGCCCCGAGAGACACCGTCTCTGATCTCTGTCCATGGAAAAGAGTTTTCAATCTTACAGGATGAATTACAAGTTCTGAGTGTTTGATATGAGTAATAATTAGGTGTGGCACAGGTGCAAAAGTAAAATTTTAGGTTTCTAGATTAGGGGTTCAGAGGGGACAAGATGGAGGAAATTTGGTGTGTCTTGTCCTTTTTCTCCTTCTTCATGCCCTCCATGTTTCACTGTAGTGTTGGCATTTTTCTATTGGTTTAGGCTGGGGACACACTGTTCAACATATGTGATAGATATTGGCACATTATTGTAAATATAGCACATGTAGTTTCTGGTATATAATGTTTGTACCATCCCACTGAGGGGCAGAGCCCCGCACGCTGCCCTGCAGGACAGACCTGCGGCAGGGCAGCAGAACATGTTATAGACAAGCAAGAATAAACAGCCCTGAAAACAGCACAGACGAATTATGACTTCTTCTTTGGCAACGGGGCAGAAAGACAGAGACTTTTTACAATCTCGGAATCACCAATACCCACAGATTCCGACAATCTATAGTATCTGCTTTTGATTTTAATGTAGACATATCTTTGCAGAAGAAAAAAGCAATTACAGTTATCCCCATATTTCAGAGCTTTGCACTCAGTACTCTGCAGACCAGATGCCAAAACTACTGGTTAGGTGAGAAAATTATGAGGAACTACCCCAAACTCTTGCCAATTCAGGACACAACCTGAATTTTTCACAAAACTCATGAAAAATGACTCACCAAGACCATCAAGTGCCATGAGGTTTTCATAGTTTTTGGCAAAGATCTGGGCAATGCTGGGGAAAGAGTTGCTGGTGGGGGCTTGCAGCTCTCCCTGACTTACTCTTCTTTGCTAATCCTGTACCCCCAGCCACTTTGATAAGGCCAAGGAGCAAGGAAACATCTTTGTCCCACTGGCAAAGACCACAGGTTTAGATCATTAGCAGCCACTCTCAGGCACCCCATAACAGAGCTGCTCCACAACACCTCCTCCATGAATCAAGTGCTACACCTCAAACAATCACCCCCAAGACTCCAATGTAGCTGGGAAGGGCAGGGGCAGTAATGACATTGTTGTCCTGGATGTGGGCTCACTGCCCCATGTGCAGCACCAATTTACACACCAAGATGAGATATTCCCATTTCTTTTGCCTAGCTTGTGCAAAGCAGGGAGATGGTGTGGCCCACAACAGGCTGGGTCCCCAATCATCAAAGCTCCATGCCACTCATGTATTTTAGCAAGCAAAGAAATCAGGGCTCCTTGGCTACAAGTCATCCAGCTCTGTTACTGATCAGTATTCTAGCTTTGGTGGGCAACATGATTCTCTCACTTCCCATGCCAGGATCAGCCTGCCTCTTGAGTCAGTGGGTTTCCTGAGTCAGTGGGCTGGGAGTCAATGGTCAGCCTCTCCCCCAGTGAAATTTTTTTCTACCCAGTTAGAGCTGACTTCAGCACAGTTGCTGAAATTAGTTTGCTTTATTAAGTTTCTTCCTTATCTTGCGAGTTCTGCCAAATGTCCTGTGGCCCGTGAATTCTGTGTTCTTTGTGCCCACTATCAGCAGCACATCCTTTTCCCCAAGCTTTGCTAACCTCCCCCTAGATATGAGAGCACTGAAGCACATCAAGTCCTGTAATTTACCAGAGCAATTTTACTGACTGATAAATTCTAATTTATCTTTCTAAAGCCTGGACATCAACATAAGCAGAGAAGGAGACCTTCTTATTCCTACTTCTGAGCAATGTACACACCACTGGTCTGGCTCTGGGCAGGGACCAAGGGAAAGTGATGCCAGGGGCTGGCTAAGGTGCTGTGCAGCCCATAAAACCACATAATATTTTCAGCAGCAAGTCACATCAGTGTCATTTGGCACCATGTATATTTGAAAGTGTGTGAAAACTGTGGAACATGTCACTCTTAATAAGCCTAGAGGCAAGCAATATACATCCAGCTGCCTCCAAGCATCCCAAGCAAGAATTCATTTAGTCTGCACTTCTGTTTGAACACAGCCTGGGGCTGTCCTTCAATGTATCTGTGTTTAGCAGTTGGCAGCTAATTCAAAATGAATCTGCACTGCTTGTATTTCGGATGGAAGCGAGACAACATTTTGCCTTTTGCTTACTGCAAGCTGGAACAGTATTCTATTACTTCACACTGTTATTTTATTATCCCAAAGTGCTGCAGGCACATTATAGGACATGGAGAACTAATGAGTCCTGAACTGAGGGAGTAGCAGTCTATGCACATGCTGGATTGAAAAATTAAACAAGTGGAAAAATAAAAAGATGGAGGGTGAGAAAGGAGGAGACAAGGAGACAACAGTGTGCTTGGAGACTAATTGCACATACACATTTTAATAGGTTTTATAATTGTATAGCAGGTTTTTTTTTTTTGGTTTTTTTTTTTTTTTTTTTGTAGTTCTAATATGGTTCGAGCTAATACTTAATTACTGTTTGCTGCAAAACTGGCATCCACAAATTAAAAAAAGGTAATTAGGCTCAAAGGCTTATGTCAACCTCAGGTACCGAAATGAGGGCTGTACCTTTCCTAAGTTCCCTCTATTGTCAATGAAAAGAGAAGTCAGAAGTATCTCTCCCTGGCTGTTGCCTAGACAAGAAGCCTACAGAAACCACATTTCTAATATAGAACCCTAGACCATGTGTCTAAAATCAGATGGGATGAATATGAGTCTCTCTGTGTGCTCTCAGAGACAACCTGATTCACTTTTTGTTCTCCCTCCAGCTTCTTTCTTTGCTTTGAATCTAGTCCTTAAGAATAAAGAAAAAGCAGTGCTAGCAAAATCATTATTGTTCTCAAAATATTAGAAGAAACAATTCAGATTCATGGCGTGCATTGGTAAGTAGCTTATAAATTATATTTTTTTTTCTTTACAGTTATCTATTTAGGATACTAAATTCTGAAGTTAGTGTAAGTCTTTTAAGCTTGTTAGACTAGAACACACACAACATTCCCTTTGACAAAATCATGCATTAGAAAAATCAAGTACTGAAATAAACATCTCCTGGGGCATACAGGCTCTGTGGACATCAAGTAACTGTGTTCTTTTCTGTTCTTTTCGTTCCTGTTTTAAACATCCTGAGTATTAGCTTCTATTATTTCCCTTGGAAGAGGCTTTTCCCAATAGGATAACTCAAGAGTAAAGCACTCATGTGCTTTAATGATGACACCTGGGACCACACTGGGGCTCAGAGGTTCCAGGTCTGTTACATGGTCTTGCAGCAAGCTATTTCCTCTGATAGATGTTAGATTATAGATAAAAGGAAAAAAACATCCACAACAGAAAGTGAACAAATAGAGGACTGCTCCCTTTATAGGCACATAATGAGAAGAAAAATTATCAAACAGGGTATTGAAACAGTGTGAGGTACTGAAAATGTAGGCTTATAGCTCAGTCAAAAGACACATCAGTCTGTGAAGAATGTGTGCTCAATGGTCAGCCCACCAGCAAAGAGGAGTTGTGAAGATGTCAAGAGACATTAAAATAGGAATGCAGCAGCTTGTGATAAAGGTGGGACCTCAGTTCCTATTACCACCATTGAAGGATCAGACTTGTGCATTATTAGACATGGTAAGAGCATCAGGAGCACAAAAGATATTGAACAATCCTCTGAGATTTGTGTGCATCTCGCACTGCTGATTGGTAATACAGAACCTCAAAATATCCAAGAGAGGGAAGCATTCC